GATAAAGAAATAAAGATGAAGAGGATAATAAAGCATATCCAAGGATTTTCCACTTCAACGAATAGTCGATAAATGAAATCGTTATGCTCGCTCTATGTACGTATGTTGTTAATATTTGTCAATCAAATACATAAAGTAAACAAAATAACTGCCACTACATCATGTAAACTGTTCCATCGATGATTATTCATCAGTGAGATACCACATAAACTATTTAAAATTGCAAAATAAATAGATGCTGCTGATTAAAAAACTCGTCTATTGTTGTTTGTTTTATTATGTTCATCAATTTAACAATCTAATGCATTAATATGTTCAAATAATTTGGCTCGTCTTTATACACATTTTATGCATTGTCGTCGTAAAACCAAATCAAACCTTTTTTTATCGTACGTGTACATCAACTGATTTAAAATTTTTGGTCGGTGCAATTATAAGTTTTTTATAAAGTAATACAAGTTATGGTAGTATGCTTTCCTACTTGCTTAGATTGAACGATTACCATGTAGTTATCATAATTATCGGCAAAAAAAACATATAAAAGAAAGCGCTCTTTAATTAAGCCGAATAGCGTCCGTTATAACAATCTTGTATGCTTTGACTGTACAGTGCACAGTGTCGTCATTTTAGTATACTAAATGTAGTCATACAATTTGTAAATAGTCATAATTTTATAGTGTTGGAAACCCAGAGCTTAAAGAAGCAGAATGTTACCACGAGTAATAGCAAAGAACAATACAATAATCTATCCCTAATTAATATTATTATACCAGGAAACAGGAATCGTTGTGAGTTCGGAGCGAAAATTTACATGATGAATGATTACATCTAACTAATCAGGAGACTTGTATACATGAAATAATAATAACGTCATCACATGAATCACGATCATTGATCGAGAAATTTTTCCATAGCTTCGAACAGTTATGTTGGGCTGATCTCGTGATCACAAACATGTTACACGAATAATCGACAAAAAAGGCCTGTTACCACAAGATGAACGCGAACTTGCAACGAACAATGGATACCTTTGTTGATCTGTCTTCAGGCCTCTCATCAGACTATGAAAAGCTTTACAAAAGTGGCAAATATACGGATGTGTCAATCATATTGGAAGAGAACTTAATCACAAAGTATTTCTCGCTCATACATTGGTCTTATGCACAAGAAGCACATTCTTCGAGAACAGCCTAACCGGGAATACAGAGACGTCTGAAGAGATTCAAACAGTTGCCGTAACGCTCGAAGATATGGCTCCTGGCGTTTTCGAAATATTGCTTAGGTAACTCTTCACAACTTAAATATTGGGATAACATATTAATATTACGTGAAGCTCACATGTGCCATATCCATAATGATACTCATTTTTAACTGAACCATAATAATGCTGTAGGTACATTTACACTGGACAATTGTCCTATAATGCATGCAAAAACGTAGGTTGGGTCAGCCTTTTGGATGGTGCTAACAAGCTTGAACTACTTGATCTCCTTGCTGTAATTGAAACTAGTTTGATTGATAACCAAGAGGATTGGATTCAACAGAATATTCTCACAGTCCACAAGTATGCTGCATCCACAGTTTGTCTGAACAAACTTCTGGCATACTGTAATCGAATTATGGCCTCTCACCCAGATATTATCTTTAAATCAGATGATCTTGCAATCTTACCAAAGGAGACTTTGATCACTCTTCTCAAAAATGACAAACTTAACATGGATGAAGATGATATTTGGGTGTCAGTTATTCAATGGGCTATTAAACAAGTGCCTGAACTAGAACTTGTGAATGTAAAGGAACCAGACAATTGGTCACCCAATGATATTAATACAATCAAAGATATCATAGCAGATTGTATACATCATATAAGATTTGTCAGTATCTCCCCTAAGACAGTTGTTCTGTACAATGATTTATTGCCAAGCAAGATGCGCCGTGATATACTTAATTATTATATTGATAAAGATTATGCATCAAGCACTGACATGCTATCACCAAGAATAAGAATAGAATACCTTGATTCACTTATTATTAACAAGCAACAAGCACAATGGATCTCATCAAAGATTGTGGAGTCAAGAAGACGAATTCAAGGGCTGTCTGTGAAGCAAGATGATGTTTATAAATTTACCCTGCTTTATAGAAGTAGTAGAGATGATAATACAGCTGCAAAGTTTAGAGAATTGTGTAATGACAAAGGGCCCACAATTGCTGTTGGGAAAGTGTTGGGTACTGAAGAAATACTTGGTGGATATAACCCATTTTCATGGGGTTCCCAATTTGAGTATGCTGATACTAAAGAGAGTTTTATATTTGCATTAGACAAAAGCACAGGTAAGAGTAAAGTAAGTTTTGTTGGTAATAATAGTAAATGTGCTATTTATGATTGGGATTGCTATTTCCCTGTATTTGGAAGTGGTTTTGATTTATCTTTTGGAGTTGATGGTGAACCATTTGCATACAATGACACATACCAAGTTTCAATAAGAAACTCGGATACATCTTTTGAATGGGCAGATTGGGAGGTGTTTTTGATTTCTAAATTTTGATTGAATCTCATTTTGCAATTATTAATGAAACAATATAAAATAGTGTTGCTGTTCAATACTTTCTACATAGCAATAGCATAACTATAAATTAGTTTAGGTGAGCTATGAAATGATAAAAACTATGTAATAAAGTTGTGTTTATTTGCTTTGACATTACTGTCTGTTTAAAATTTGCATCATTGATCTACTTTACAGAAGCTGTATTATTCAACTGTAATGACAACTTTTTTGTGATATTTACACTTTGAAAACATTGTTTGGTATTAGTATATGTTTCATCATTATGTCACTAACAAAGGTTAAATTTCAAGTAAAAAAAAATCCTGAGATTTTTACTAAATTAGAAAATTCTACATCTGTAGACACATTCTCACAATATTGATATATTCAACTAATTATAATTGGCAACCTCATTGCATGATGCCTGTTAATGTTAAATTTTGAAAACTGAGAATACAAGCACAAAATCATTTTTATATTCTTTTATCCATTTTTAGCAAAAATATCTTGTTTGAAATTTGCAGATTATTATGATATATTAATATGGCGAATTTTAGGATCTTAATATAGCTGTTCAGTACTCTAACTAATATTAAAGCTGTTAAATGCTGGAGTATCTGCCAGTTCATGCTGAACAGTATAATTCGCTAATATAAACAGTGAGAATGTATGCTCAGAGTCTGTTAGCTCTCTTCAATTGTTTGTGTCTGTACCACCCAGTTAATATAGTTCTGTCAACAGTAATCCTAGATGTAGTGAGATTGCCAGAACATTCTCACCAGTATTTTGGATAAGAAATTCACGATATTGTACATAGAGATTATTGATTTTCTGACCATCCTATTTTGTGAATGCACTTTTTCATAGATCAATCACCATGTTATAGCAATGATTTGTGTGGGGATCTTGGGCAATGATTCAACCAACCTTTGAGTACTGACATTGGTAATTTTATGAACTAGTTTGATTCATGTACGTTGCTTTCAATTGTAATTTAATCTTCAAATGACTTTTGGAGTACCGCACCCACTGTTTATTGTTGAATGTTTGACCCAACTTTTGAATGCGCAATGCAATTATACTATATATATACACGGTGTTGTGCAAGGACATTAATCATTGCAGCAAGCTAATAATAATTTTGTGTAGTCTTTATATTTATTAGAAGCATGCAAGATGCTGCGTGTCAATATTTTTTACGGCAGACCACAGTGGGAATTTTCTATTGTATGTATCAGAATGTTGAATGAGCACGCAGATCGCGTAACTTGCAATTGATAAACCTTTTGGAAATACAGTTTATATGAATTCGACGATTTTTTTATACAAATGTACCGATTGAACCAAATTTATAGAAAATGTGAGCACACGCTTTTTTAGTTTGGTTTTTTTACGTATGTATGTAAAAAAGAGCAGTTTTTTGTTAACAAAATCTCAACTGTCAAGTTAAACATGTGAGCTTCCGTAATATGGAATAGCAGCAAACATTTATTATATTTACACTTTAGAGGAGAAGATGTCATGAACGACGCGCGTAATAAAGAGAGGCGTTTGGGTGTTTTAAGTCGTATTAAACTATCATATGACGGAGTCGCGTAATGATTGCACGTTTGTACATTTAACTTTTTTCGTCTGAATCAAGTCAGTTATAATATAGTAAGATCTCTCGTTGTTTCAATAATATGATCAGTGCATCGGATAATTTTCTGGGATTGTCGAAAACGTGACTTGCCGCAGATGTATCAAAAACGAAACCAAAATTTGGGGTGCTTGCAGATCAATCAAAAACGGAAACTTTTGCGTGCAATACTTTTGTCCCTTAACATAAAAAGCGTAATCAACGTCAGCAACTCCCTGACTGTAGAAATACGTCACCTGTGTAGTATTAGTATATTGAAGTGATAAATGTAAACACATGAACAGCGGAATCTATATCTGTGATATTGCCATATAATTGATGGTATTGTTGCTTCGTCTGCAAGATTACGACGTATGTATTGTATGATTTGATTGTATGATTGTTACTAGTTAAGAAACAATCTAATTGATGAGAACAAAAGAAGTCGAATTTGAATTCGTCACTTGATATCACCTGTTTGCCATAAGCAGCATTTGGAAAGCAACTTGATCGTGGTCACTATTATTACTTGGAGCTTCGTACCGTAACACAAAATAAGCACCTACCTGCCCAAGTTCCCGTGAAATTTCTTCTATATGTTTCTATAGCATGTGATTATTTATACTTGCTGACAATAATAGAACCTGGTAGCCTGACCTGATAATCTCTGTCATCACCATTATCCTATCACATAATGGCAGTAGGAGTGATAATAATAATAATAATGATAAAAATAGATTAATTAATGGACCGAAAGATATATAATTGACTTAAATCGTGTTCACTGTGTTCAAGTTCATATAGTATTTTTTTTCCTTATCTCTTACATAAAAATGTTTTCCGATACAGTATCCGATGCTTCCTATGTAAGTACTCGAGCTCCAAGTCCACATTCACGCTCTGCAGATGAGGAGGCAATCTTGGAATGTATCGAAGCCATCGAAGCCATCAAAGAAGCTAATAATAAAAAAAAAGAATGGTGGATTGATGGAAATTATAAGGCTATCGATGAGGAAAGGTAGTAATCATTGCATTGTATATCACCCAGTCCCTATTGACTATTCTAAGTATAAGGCTTTGCTTATTAGATTGCCTCTGCGTCTCATGAAAAATGTAACGTACCGTGAATATGAAAAAGTGAAATTGCAAATGCAGGCAGATGTTGGGAGTTTGTTGATGGCGTTGTCATCATATATGAGTTGCCAAAATATGATCATTGAGATTGTACGTTTTCTCGGCAATTTCTATCTGCCTTCAATAATCTACAATTCCAAGATGATATTGCGGGTGCTGGAGCGACAAGTATGTACCCTTTAATGCTCTTTATTATGTATAGATATCATTATATTAATTCTGTTGCATTCAACTATGTCTTGTTTTGGTTCTGGGCGAAGATCTGCCAGACAACCGGACGCTTCATTTGTACCCAATCGCTTACTATTAAATAAACCATCTCCTCATCCATGTGATGCTCAGGTATGCACTTTTAATCGTATTAGCAACACATAACACAAAAATATAAATAAGTATCTTGGTTAAAGGGTAATCCCTGGCCAACCGTAGTCTGTGAGGATGCCCGATCACATATACTCCAAAAAACCAATTCGTTCTGGTTAGCCCCAAACCGGTCAGAAGATGTAATAATACTCAAACTATGGGAATGGAATCCGAGGAGAGATACAAATGGGCGCCCATTGCGTCGCTTAACAGTTAGTATTACTTGTAAGTTCATTTTTATTCCTATCCATTTATCTAATGACTTGTATTCTTGACAGTGTTATAAGTTTTGTCGTTGTGCAAGCCTTCAAGCAGGTCAAGCACAAGGGAGGTTCCAGCCAGTCCAAACGGTAGGAATCAGTGTATTTATGCTGGTTGATCCATCGTGTTTGACTTACAAAATCGCCTTATGCATTCGTTTTTTACAGTACGAATTTGGGACCATTGATAGATATCAAAGACCTTATAATGGTTGCTCAGCCCAAGGAATGCTTACAGTGACAATTGCGCCAGAATGTGTTTATGAAGGTTGTACTCCACCATATCCGCCGTATCCGCTTGCAGGGAATGTAATCATCGATTTGTTTAGTATCCAACAAGCAATTTTTTGTTGTCAATGACAATAAATTCTTATATTCACGTTAGCATTATAATAAGTAGCAAAGTAATCGTTTATTAAATTAGCTAACTTTGTACAATTTGATATATTTTGTGAATGAATAAAAAAATAACTCGATTGGCAATTCTCAAAATTATTTTTCTCATCAATTGTGTCAGTAGCAGTCACTGGACATTTCACAAAACTTTTATTGACTTACAATTCATATAGTATTACACAAAAATAATTATTTGTTTTGATACTGACATGAATTTTCTCTTTGATAACAATATGGTAGCAACAACTACAATGATAAAATAAACTTATGCATCTTGTTATGCTTTACTATTTGTGGTAACAGATTGTGGACAAAATCTTTAGTTAGAGAGTTAATCCTGTTCAAGTTATATGCTTTTTACCTTTGTGAACAGATTCTCTCAAAACTTATATAATAAAATCAAAAAAACACTTGTAATTGATAGTAAACACATCAATAAATGTCTTGTAAAAACACATTTACACAGACAGAGATAACTATGAGACAACTACAATTTTACTATGTAAAAGAGTTTGTAGTACAGGAAATCATTTCTTTTTTATAAGGTTGTAAGTAGTTAATATTAAGAGGCTTTGCCTCTCATGATAATAGACTAATGACAGCTGCCTTTTGTTCTCGTTGCATGACTAAATTTTGAATTTTTGATTGATGCGTCTAATAATAATTGCTACTATTATTAATTATACCTTTAGATACTGCTAAACTTTTCTTGAAATGACTTTACATGGTTTTCGAGAAAAGGTATATACGTGGTAAATAGATGAAGTTGAATGATTAGAATAACAGGATTACGTACCGGCGATCTCAAATTTCCTTTCTCAGAGAAGAATATGTCTCGCGTGAATGTATAAAGCGGCAATTCAGTAGTTTCAACGTTATAACGTGAGTTTGCTATCAAATAATGTAATCTGTGAATGTTTAGAGTACTAAATGCGGAATAAATGGGTTTGACAGTGATAACAAGTGAATTGCGAAAGTCGAAGTTCATTTGATTGCGTTGTTAGTGATCTTTGAAAGACGATTAACGGCTATAATGAATGGAAGCGCATATAATTTTTACAACTGTTTATTATTAGCTTCAAGTGATGTGGCCTTTGCCAATTAACATTACCACACAAACCTCACAAAACTGTTATTTGATAGACCAGTATTCTATAACAATAAATGTACACAACTTCTGTTACGAAACATCTTTGTGTAAACTGTCCGTCAAAACATAAAATTTTCTATAGCTAACAAAGGCTACAAGTTTACTCTGCTTTATCAAAAAAGTCGAGATGGTGGCACAGTTGCAAAATTTAGTGTTAGAGAATTGTGTAATGACAAAGGACCTACAATTACTGTTGGAAAGGTGTCAGGTACTGAAGAAATATTTGGTAGATATAACCCGTTTGCATAGCTGGAAATGCTTCAACTAGGGAAAGTTTTATATTTGCATTAGATAAAAGTATAGATAATAATAAGAATGTATTAAGTTATGTTAATAAGATTTGAATATGTTATTTATGACAATGATAGTTTGTTCCCTATATTTGGGAATGGTGGCAATTGTAATTTATCTTTTGGTGGTAATGTTTACAGACCTTTTGCTGTAAAAACAGCTTATCACATTCCAATAAGGCTTTCATCAGATCGTTTTGACTGGGCTGATTTGGAGGTGTTTTCAGCTACCAGGCGTTGATTCTATCCAATTTATTTATATTTAATCAAAGTCAAATGTAATTATAACGGCTTACTGATGTTTTAAAATCATTATTTTCTTATATGTGAGTATTATTTTGAGTAATAAAACTCATACGGTTTGATTTCAAAACGATTATAAACATGAAAGCCTTATTATTATGATGTCTATTCTTTTTTAATTTTTTGTATAACTTTGTTCTTGATAATTCTAACTTAAAACAGCACGTTCTCTCACCTGTATTAATTAATTGTTTAAAATTACTCGTTATTGCACATTTTATACAATACTTTAATATTAAGTAAAATTTATTGTATATTTAAGTAGTCTACAATTTATTATTCGTTGCATTTATACATCAACAATAGAACACGCAATGTATAACTCGTATTATAGTGTTTCGGCTTGTTCTTATTTGAATATATCAAAGTGGATTACTTATATTTGGTTATTCAAAAACCAAGTAAATTACGATACGTGATATATCAATTTGCTCTGTCCAAATAACAATAAATGCAGAATTTTTATAAAGCTATGGAGCTCCGTGTGTAAACATGATAATACTATCTTAATATTAAAGGAATAATTTCGTGACAGCTAAGCCATAATACTTACCTTAGTGTACGCAGAACTTCATATAATCGTTACTACTTAATATTAACATAATAATAATAAAAACGAAAGGGTAACTAAATTATTAAGTCAAGAATTAAAAAAGAAAGTGCACAGCGAACGAACGCAAATACGCAAGCTATGGTCACGATGCGCTTTTAATTCAGTGGCAGGTTACACAAAACATCACACGCGTTATCGGGCAGAACATACGATGTAATAATGTTCTTTCGACCCGCCAACTCTCTGCAAAAATAGAAAATATGCAAAATATACCGCTTTTGCATGTTACAGTATGAGATTATATATATATTAAAAAAAGGTTTATAAAAGTTCCGTTGCCTATACCAACGCCGATGCTCAGAAAACGGCATATTGAGTTGAGAAAAGCATGGGCATAGAAACATGTGAATGACAATTGGAACCGAACAATATTCACAGATGAGACAGTCTTTGATCTCTACCGAAACAAAGTTCGTCGTTGGCACAAAACTGGGAATAGGCCCGTTCGTAAATTACCTAAATCCCGTCAGAAGGTGTGGGGCGGTATTTCTCGAATGGGAAAAACTCCCTTGTTTTGTTTTACGAATATTATGGATGGTCCTTTGTACGTGCGAATGTTTCAAACCCAACTTCTACCTGCAGCCCAACAAATGTATGGAAGGCGTTGGCGTTTGCAACAGGACAATGATCCGAAGCACACGTCACGTGTTGTCAAGGAATTCATCACTGAAAATTCGATCCACTTAATTGACTGGTCATCCAACAGTCCGGACGTTAATCCAATTAAAAATATGTGGCAAATCATAAAAAATAAAGTTGAAAAGCGGATGCCACAAAATACGGATGAATTAATGAGCTTTATGAACCGAAGAATGGGATGCAATTCCCCAGGAAATAGTTAATAATTTAGTTCTTCTGTGCAAAGCAGATGCGAATCCATTTTATTGAATAACGGTGATAGAATTTTATACTGAAAATTTATTATTAAATAAAGTGTCTAATAAGCTTTCAAAAATGCCTAATTTGAATTCATAATTGTTGGAATATGGGAATTTCTGTCACCGCCGTTTTTTTCTTAACACAACACTAATTTGTTCAGCAAAAAAAGCGAAAGCTTTTTCTCTCAACTCTTTGTGTATAATTATCGTAGAATTAATTTTTGATAATAATATTATGACAAGTTTATTAAATTTCGGACAATGTTGATATTGCGTTATGTGTATACGTTATGCAGTTTAATAGTTAAAATTGCTAAAGTACTTCTATAATTCAAACTATCCGGACGATAATTTGCTTGATAACGTTAGTAGAGTAGAGGCAAATTTCTTCAACTATCGAAATATGAATTATGTCTGAATTTAGCGTAAAGTTTGTCTCGTTTAACCGTATCATTGTACAATCAGATCAACACCTTACAGCCTAATCGTATTTTAACTATGAATGTACGATGATGCAAATCATCATACGATCGGATCATCGTACAATGAATTTAATCCAATGCAGATCATCGTGCATTCTATCCAATAATTCAAAATACGATCTTCATGCAAATCATTGTATGATTGACAGTCTAATCATACTGCGCTCAATGCAAAATATTGACTAACCGTAAACTGATAAAATTCCCGAGCAATAGCTGTACAATTGGATTTACATTTACCGTTAACTGAAATGGCTGCTAGTAATTATACAAACAATTATTGACATCTATCAGAAATTAGAAGGTTAATACTTCAAGTACCATTTATTAGTTTTAATCAGCAACTCTTATATAACAGACTAACAACTTGTTTGTAAGGATACAATGCCTTAATCTATAACATTGGTTATACTGGTTGACATTGCTTAATATATCTCTTATCTAATCTACATATTACTCTACATTGACATATGTCGATTCCAAATTGACATAAATTCTAAACTGACATATGTCAATTTAAAATAGACATAATTCCAACTAACATATTAATTTGAAGTTGACGTATGTCCATTTAGAATTGACATACGTTGATTCAAAATTGACGTACAACATTTGTCGAAATAATTCAGGTTATTGCATAGGTTTGATAACGATTTCTATTCAAGTCAAAATAACATGCAACGCTCTCAAACATTTTTTCTTGTTACAGCCAAGTTATTTAAAGCGTGGCGGATAAATGCTCGATTATTTAAATTTATTGTTATATTTATTATTAATTAATATTTTGTTTATATTGCTAATTTTAATATGTGAGTGAACGGCAAATTAATAAATCTGTAGTTATTTGTTGTAATCGCTGGTATTTTCTTGCTTTAGAATGTGTTCCTTAAAACGTAAGCTTATCCTGCTGAGAATAAAGTTGATCAGATGCTCAGGAGACGCAAGGTAGCGTGAAGCTTTGTGTTTTGTGAACTGTTAGGGCAAATGGTTTTACAATGGAAATTGCGCTTTCAAGGCTGAAGGTATTAGTATATTTCGTGTATTGTTCTGTAAACGGGTATTAGTATAGGAATGTAAGATAGAGAATCGAAACTGAAGAAGAGTGAGTAATAGCTATTAAGAGAGGTAAAGAAATGGAGACATGTGTTTATGACATATAATGAACAAATAAGAAAAAAAAATGCCTGGAGATGCTCCAGAGCAACTCCGTGGAGTAATACTTTGGAGTGTAATCGTAACACAATGAATAAACAAGATAATTGTCTAGCACTCCGGATTAGGTAATACCCTGGAGTCACTCCAAAAGCTGTACTCCAAAGTTATTCCATAAGTGGCACTCCAAGGTCACTCCACATAATGACTATGCCACATTACGTCAATTCAGAGTAACATACACCCTGCTGTAAAGTTATTGAGTAATTTAATCGAGATAAACGTACAGTCAGATAAACAAAGTTTGGAGAAAATTTAGGCGGTCTTTGATTGACGTTGTTTTATTCTGATAGACTATAATTGACCCGGTAATTGCAAAAGATACACAGAGAGGCGAGGGCATTAGCATATTTCTCCTTGCGATAACCAGTCGTATAATATATAGTGATAATTTGGGCGGTGGGGCATGTCCGAGCTATCGAAGGCGAATTCATCGTCGTACAAGTTTTTTTAACGGTATGAGACATATTGCTTTCGACTTGATAACGTTTACATATTTTTTGTTATATGTAATAAGTGCCCTTAATTTTGTCTTTTCCAATCTGCTGGTATATTATAAACTTATTAAAGGATTCCGAAGGCTGGAAATTACCCTTTTGTTTTGTATATTAAAAATAATAAATGCGTTGTTTCGAAATACAAATAATCACAGAATGATATCATCAGTGTTTTTTTCTAAATCGTAGAAACAAAATTATCAATAATATAATGATATATAAATGTTTTTTTGAATTACAAAGAACGTCAAATGAAATACCGAATGATGACACACATAAGGTATCGTCAAATGAATAGCAAATGATCGGTTGAGTATCATGACATCATGTTTGCGACACAAGAGAATGAGTGCAGATTTGCTCAATCACGTGATCCAATTTATTATCTGTCCGACTTCCGACTTGCTGCTGCTACGAGGGTGGTTCCGACTTATCGAGAAGGTTTAAATATAAAAAAAAAACTGACTAGATTTGTTCGACTTACTGAATTTACTGTGCATTACCATTTTGTTTTGAGATGTTCTGATATAATTCTGTTACCTCCCATATTTTTATCGATGCTTTATAATTGAAGCGTAAAAAAAAACGCTAGTAGTGCTTTTTTTATTTGATTGTAAGTTTGTAATTAAACGATAGTAATCGAGGAAATTAATTTTCTGTAAATTAGCGAGACAATTAATTTATTGTAATAAAGATTGCGTTGACTGATAGTTAAGATGGAGAGAAAAATATAATGCGATTAATCTAGAACAATTACTTATAATTCCACGAGTTTACAAACTGTATTGCGTACCTATGAAACTCGATAAGTCGGACACGGTGGAGCGGCAGACTGTCCGACTTATCGAAATGATTTTAATATAAAAAAAAAAAAGAAAAGTGCGAAGGGATTTGTCCGACTTATCGAGTTTCCGACTTATCAAATTTCACTATGTAATTGCAATTATCTTTAATATAACAATGACAGTTATTATATTCGATTACTTCTCAATTATTGCATAACTAACTCGGCCGAATGTAAATTAAACGTTTCATTTTCTTACAGTAAATGTTCGACAACTGGCTGTATTCGATATTTATTGTTTGACAAAAACCGCTTTGTAAGCTACCGACCAATGATGTCTCGGTGTGACGAATATCAGCATAACAATTGGTTAAATAACTAAACGGATATGAATTGTAATTGCTTACGAATCAATATTACGATGACAGTTTGGAGTAAACTTGCAAAGTGTACTTTAGTCTTTCAAACCCTAGCGGATGCTATCTTCACAGTGTTTGTGTTTGCCTTTAATTTACATTACTTGACAATTTGTTATAGCAGTTATATACATGATTATTAAATATCTTAATTTAGATTCATTATTATACTGTTACATAACTGCTTAATTAATTTTGCTTATAATGCAATTGGTTCATGCGTGTCCGTCTTTGTTCGATTCTATTAATAACTGCTTAGAATTCTCTTCTTTTTTTTTTAATTTGAGATTGGTTCTTAGTTTTAATTTAATAAGACAGCCAATGTTGTTCGAATATGCTGAAGCTTTGGTATGTCCGGAGAAGTTGTTTTTTTAAACGGTGGTTTAAAACTGTTAAACAAATTATTTTATCAGTATCTTATTCGTAAGGTATATTGTATAATAAACTACAAATAAAGACATTGACGTAAAGGTTGTAAATCTTGCGGTATACGGGTCGAAAGCGGAAGGTTGACTCTCTGCATATTACTTGTAAAGACAACTGCACAGATGTCTCTATTTTCAGTCAATCACATCATGTTCCAGTTGATACTTATTTGTCATTTTTACCATGTCAGCGATTTTCTAAGCATCCAAATGCGTCACATAACTGGTTGCAGACAACGGTTATTATAACGTGCGCCAAATGTAGTTGCCGTACGAAAATATTATTTTGTCATGTTTTTTGTCTGATATTCCGAGTGAGGCAATCATAATATCGACAATTATTTCGTAGACGTAATAGTTCGCCGACAACTATTTTACTGACAGGGTTGTTTTACCGACAGGTTCATTTCATCGACAATCCTTTTTTGGTGGTTGACCACAATTGTCGATTAAATAATTGTTGACGAATGATTTGTCGGCGAAATAACCTTGTCGGCGAAATATTACGCCTACGAATAATGCCCGATGTCGTGATACGAACGACGTAACGATGCATAAGAATATTCGTACGGAATTTGTCTTTGCTAAGAATTTGTTGGCAATTTATGATACCGACGGTTTCAACTGTTAGCATGTTGTGCGACTCTGTTCTTTGTTCTATCGGCTATATGTAACATTACATAATAGAATACCTTTAGTTCTCTGAGTTCTTCACCCCTCTCGATCAGATTTATTATCCTTACAATATAAATCAGATGTAAGGCATCTCTGTGAATTAAACCCACTCTCGAATAACTGTTAGTATATAAAGCGTTGCTAACGAACAGGTTCTTAAATGGGGAGGTAATGACTATCGTTTGATTAACCAAATATAGTGATAGTGATAAAATTTAGTCCCCGATTTAGTTAGCGTAATTTTGCTTGTGAACAATTCATATGATTTCCACGGTAAACAATCTACCGCTCTCCTCATCTGCATAGAGACACACGGCAATTTGTGCAACACAGTAGCGAAATGTTATGTCCATTAATAGCAGACAAAATACTATGTAACAAAGTTTGCCGAGTGACTGTTTCAAAGTCTAAGAATTACTCAGCTGCCAAGTGGCGATAAAATATTAAAAGGGATAGTATTTCATATTGAAATCAAAACAATATTCCGATTCGACATTTCAGTACTGATCCGGGCCTTCGTTTGTCGCATTTGTGTATATACATATTTGAGTTTCCGAATCTCAGTAGTACATACTAACTTAAGTGTTAAACAGCCTTTCTACCGGGAAATAAACGTAAATGTCTAGAAAATGGAACTGTTTCAAAGAAGGCCGTTTAGGAAAGATCAATGGCTTATCCGGAATAGCACTGACATTCGTCAAGATTAGAGACTGCTTTAATAGATTTAGGAAATGTGGTTATCATGTGCGAAGCGATCATTGATCACTTGACTTGCTTGCATTAAAGTAGGAACATACATTGAATGGCATTTCGTTGACTTAATAAAATTCATGACAATTACTATATAAAGACTACGCCATTAAATGCAATTAACCGTTTCAGGAGAAAAATTGTTGGCAAAAGATATAAATAACGCATGACACAATTTTCGACCTGTGTTTACGTACACGATAAACAAGAACGAAATGTGCACTCGATATGAATTTGTAGCCCCGGAAACGTTCAACGTTATTCTCGACAATTATCTCGAGCGGCGCTCTGAAAAGAGAAAAGCAAAAGCGTTTATTACTCGCAAAATGTATGATCTAGCTATTAAAATTCTGCTTAATCCAAACGATATAAGATTGGCCGACAAGCAACTTAGACACTGGGTATATAATAACTGTATATTATTCAACAAATGAATATTTCGTATCTTGCATGTTTTAATACTTGTTTTATTATAGGTTCGTACAACTTTTGAGCTAAGAAAAGATGCCGATCAAGACAATTACATACTTTACAAAAGATCCAAAGGACCCAACAGTAGGCCTGCGCGGCCAGTTTGTCCGAAGGAACGCTTATACGAAGTTCTAGCGGAAATGCACGATCAACTTCAACATCCTGGCATGACAGTGTTTTGGAACGCCATTGCTTCTAAATACGCATGCATTACGCAAGAATTAGTGGAAATATTTATCAGCAACTGTTCTATTTGTAATTTTTATAAAAATAAAGGAAGATTGTCCATGAAAACAATATTACCTTCAAAATTCCTCACCAGGGTTCAGTATGACTTGATGCATGTAACGCTACCGGATGAAAACTTTCAATACATCTGCCATGCGAGGGATGATTTTACCAACTGGCTATGGACGGCTCCACTGAAAACCAAAAGCCCTCAAGAAGTAGTCAATGCATTGTTCAACATGTTTATTGTATTCGGTGCACCGCTGATTCTTCAGTCGACTAGCGGGAAAAAATTCACCGCCGAAGTTATTCAACTCTTCAAGCAAAGATGGCCTCAATCAAAAATTATTCAAGGAAAATTGCTTCCGAGATCGCACGAGAATATGGAAAAAATAAACAACAGCTTGCAACAAAAGCTAGCGGAATGGGTGAATTTAAATAAACATAGTTGGAATATAGGACTTCCAATTATCACTTATGAAATTAATACATCAGTTTCCCGCGTGACAGGTGCAACACCATATGAACTGGTGTTTGGTCAAGCGCCAGTTGCAAATTTAAATTTATTGAGCGAACTCGAGGATGAAGGTGTATGCAGTGAGGAAACCATGCAACTGAAAATTGAAGAAATGCCCTATTCTAATAATGATTGTGCATACAATAATGAGACTACTACCAATGTAGGAAATGCCGAGCTGTTAATCGAACAGGTATGTGGATAAATTAACTTTTTGATATTTTACGGTTTGGACAAGCTTATAATTGCGTCGACTTGTTACGACAGGAAAATGCATGTTCTGCAAACGCTATGGAAGCAACTACCGGACAAGAAGGAGAAAAACGGGGAACTAATTTTGAGAATAACCAAGATGACGAAAGTCAACATAGTGTAAAAAAAGGAAAGGCAAGTAATATAGAAACATTTAATTAATCTTCTGATTGTTAACAGTAGTAGACTAACCAAAGATTTTATTCTACTATACAATCAGAAAAGTTCTCGTTCGCAATGCGCAAAATGTAACAAACCCCCCACATCAATAAAAGAGTTTTGGAGACAGGCAGAATGTATAACCGAAGAAGATTGGGAAAGCGTAAAAGAATTGCTATCATCGACCGAAGAGTTGTTGGTAGTAGAAAAATCTACAGATAAATTGAAGAAACACTTGACAATTTTATTAAAAAATTTGCTAAGATTTGAGCAAAATAACAAGTTTCCTCAAAATGAAGTGCGAGAATGGAACAACAAGATAAGCGCGTGGTTACGCATTGTATCTGAACGCGCAAACAGCTCTCTTGAACAACCTGTAATCGAACCGATTACTAAAAATACTAGTGAAGTTAAAGTAAAAAGACAGAAACGGTCAAATGTTGCGGTAAGTTGTGATTTAATAATATCGCATAAAATTGGTATATAACATCCATCTGATTTGATATTTGCTTACAGAAATATCTAAATACCAAAAAATTACGTTTGGAGTAGGGCTAAGCCCAAATTTGATTAAGTTTTGATAAACGTTATGTTAATGAATATGACTTAAGTACAATTATGTTACACACTTTTACATAGCAAATCTGTTAAAACTTTTAATAAGCTACACCATTTATATGATTTCTATAATTAATTTACGTTGAATAATATTCCTATGATCTTATATTAAAGTTATGAATTGAAGAACTTTTTTACAACCAACCCAAATGCAATAGTCGCAAAGTGTAACAAATTACATTAAATATTATATAGCAATAAATAAAATTTAATTTAAAATTTAAAGTTTTACGGATCAGTCAAGTGCGCAAGTACGCCTAAACACGTATCGTAAGTTGTGCCTTAATCAGCAGTTGGATAATTAAGATTTAGTTGCTAAACGCAAACAAACCGCAAGTTAACGGCTTTTGACAAGGGAGTTTTTTCTGATGGCGACCAGTAACGGCTTTTAAAATGAACGGACGATGTAAAGTTTTAACATTTAGAAAATGAACTAATCAATACTTCGAAAGGCATGTACTATAATACTTAAAGTATGACTACTTAATTAAACTTTTCTCTTTTATTTAACCAATGCACTTTTTTTTGTACAGACACCTCCATCACGGTTATAGCTAACTTCTTTTTTATAAAAAAGAATGCCAATAAAACCCTGCCCTTATGCGCATACAAACATAATGACACACAACATTAGCACGTTCTGATCTGTTGTTTTCGATTAAGCTTGTGTCGGGCGGGAAAAAACCAATGAACAACAGTTTACGATAATGAATTTGCCAAGAACCGTTTCATCCAATTTAAGGGCATCACCTACTACTATTGGCATGTGTACCCGGGGTATTTCCCTAGTTCATTTTAGTACCCGGGATCGTCGTGAAAGACGGTATATCGTTTGATAGCGGGGATAGCGGGGATAGCGGGGAGTGCAGATCTTCACTTTTTTAATCAAATTTATTCAGTGTTACTATGGATTTGAATTTGATTGGTGGTTTTATTAGCATGTGGGAATAACATCATAACTGGTACCCGGGTATCAATCAAAATTTGGTATTCAAAAATCGCCGCAGGGTACAGCTAACAAGGTGGTACACATATATGGTACTTTGTAACACTAATGGCATTGAAATTTGTGCAACATGCAAAACATCGGAATGATCACTAAAGGTTAATACCTCACATTAATTAAGAGGGTCTAGGTCCACGGGGAATTTTATCAAAAGGATTAGCACGCTAAAACCATCCCCATATTGAAGAGTTAATAAATCCGATTGGTATTTGGGATGTTGAATGTTTGTACTTGTCATAATATGATACATTAATCTGGGCGATTATTTCGCTAAAGTCTAGATCTAAGGTTAACGTGCAATCTATATATGGTTTTCACATGAAATCATAATTTAATAGATCATATGGAATTTTTGCATTCAATTATGGCACATGGCTATTTCGTTGATTACATAAGAAATATGCTGCACAGGATTGGTTTGTTTAGTAACAATGTAACTTTTGAACAAATTATTATGTGGTATTAATGTCTGGAACGGTAATGGAGTAGTCGAGAAATTTTAAATTCAAGACTCTCTAATGCCAATCGAATTAGTTAATGATAAATACCATGTACAAGCAAATTTGTCAAATCAGTATAATTTGCTGCCATCTCATAACAATGTTATTTAAAATTTGAAACAGCTCTCCACAGTACTAGCGTAATGCGAAAACTAGCAACTTTAGTTGTTTCAAAGACGGTCGTCCTACGTAGTCCCTATTCATAATCCATTTGCGTTACTGATAGTCACAGCTTGCTTACAGCAACTATAAACTATTATTCTGATAATAGATTGGCGCATGTTTTTGGATTGTTGGCCTGTGACTCAAAACTTTTAACCCGCAGACTTTGTTCGAGAATTTGCATTGTCTTAAAAACAGACATAGATTCTATAGTGCATGTTATTTTACGCAACCTGTTATCAGTATGTTAACAAAAATTGCGTTTGATATCCCTACTAATGCTGGGCGTCGTATTACAGCATAATGTGCATGTCATATGAGTACTTTGATTAATTTGATTTAATTTACACACATCCAATTGCTACCGTCACATCATCTGTTTTAACCCAAGTCGGAATTCGGTCAATCCTAGAATGACCAACAACTGTTCCTCAGAATTTGATTTGTGTTGGAATCGTGTATCAATTATTTGCTTAGCTCTGTCAATAAGCGCATACTCGCAATAATTTCTAACCATATACATGCTGCAATTGTAAGCAAACGTTTTCGCCCTCTTTTTGCTTTTTGAACAATCGGTTTAATGGTAAGATTGTTATTTGCGGGAAAAAATAGAGTTTGCTATTATTTTAAACTCCATCGCTCATCATACCAAATTATGTTCAGTTTGTCTCTTGAAACGTTCCATAACACAATTACTAAAGCATTACTTCGTTGTTATTCAATGTCGAGCCTTTTCAATCATATATCAGTTATCTTAACAATTACGCATAAATAATAAAGGCTTGCAAATACCATAAAACTTATAAGGCTATAAGTAAAGAATGATATTTAATTAACTTATTTTCTACAATTGGGTATCCTGGTCGATTACAAAAACTCCGTTAATGCTGCTGTTACAGCAATGTTAGTAACTTCTTATAGTTTATCATTGTTCAAATTTATAACAATTGAAGAATATAATAAGTATAATTTGAACCAAATACGTGTAATAAATGTTGGAAATGCAAACTTTATGTGCATAGAATAATTGTATGTACTTAGGTACGTTTGTGTGTGTTAAGGCTTGTATTATTGAATATAATACAATTAAATAAGATTCGGCGTGCGAAATCAAAAGAGTAGCTGAGCGGTGCAATGTTTGAATAGTTCTCTCAAACCAAATCGGTTCTATTGTTCTAATCAATTGAGCTGCAAACTACTTAAGTCGTAGTAAAATTGCACCCAACAGCAGTTGAACGGACGAGGCATGGTTGTAACACGTAAAAACACGTACATGCGCTTGATGATCATAGAAAAGTAAATTATAATAATAAAGCTAATGTAAAAATACTTAAAGTGTGAGTTTTTAATAATTAATTTAAAAAACTGGATAGTAATAGTGTATTACATGGCAATCAGATAATAAATATTGCACTATACTTAGTAGTAAAATAAAACGGCTACTGCCGTTACTAATCGTCTCCTATTACATAACTCATTAGTTACAATCACAATTCGTTGACTACCATAAGAATCCTACTACTACGGAATTATGCATGACATATTAATATATAAATCTTAACTTAATTAATTAGTTATAATATTTATACACTGCTGAGACTTTGAACATAAAAAAGTACATTCCAGACTCTAATTTTAGCATTTGTTAATACACAAAACTGTATTGTATAACTATTTGCTGCAGTCAGCATCAATAAAATTGTTGTATGTCAGATGAAAATTTGTGTCCATTCCGAATGGGCATGTATCATAAAGTAAAAGGCAATCAGGTAACAACATTATAAAATTATTTTATTGACATTACGATATTAACACTGCCAGAATGTGATGAATATAAATATAAAATTACAGTATTTTTATATAAAAATAAAATATATGAAACTAATTACATTAAATCCATTATGGAACCAAAGAGGTACAACACTATTGGAAGCACCCTAAAGAAGCTCAAGGAGAGAAAATTGCGCCTTATGCTTTTAAGATTAATGATACCCAAACTCTCTAGAATTATTATCAAGAGGGACGGAAAATCATTACTACTAAATGAGCAATAACACCAACACCAATACAATACATGATAAACCAAGAAAATAATAAAACTTTGAAGAAACATAATAATAGTGAAATAAATTTGATCGAGTAACCGTCACCTATGATTGCCACTTTATTTGAACTGCAGCTTTATAACGATAGTAGATTTAAATGTGTTATTATTTTTTCAAAATTACTACCACTTACATAATAAATACGAGCAATACAGATTTTTCTATTAATCGGCCAGTCTAAATTGCTCTAAATTGCTTCGTGATAAGCACACGATTTTGCCGATCAATCAGTCAAACCTACGCAAATCTTTTTTCCTCAAAGATCGCTATTGTACATATTATGAAGATGATTGGTTATACTATTGACATATTTAGATTCGTTACCCCTCTGAAAATAGCAGTATGGTAATAAAACTCTTGGCAAAATTGCAATTGTTTCAAACCGTACCTACCACAGGTATGAAAATTTCCCCCGGCCATATTTACTAATTAAGTCACAAAAATTTTCGAAAAGACTACGATAAATTTTGTTTCACTGTCGCTGTCCGATGAAGTGGGAGTACACATGAATTTTCATATGTATAGCATATTTCATTGCCTTTTAAATACAACGGTCTGTTTATGATCGACAGTTGTGAAACACGTGGATTTACAGTCCCCGGAAAAAATAATGGCGGTGCTTATCAATACAATTTTTTACAAAGATTAATTTTCTTAGTAAAAAATATACTTGGCACATAGCTTACAGTCATTTATAACTGGTTTTATTTGCTAAAATTTAAAATTAAAAATTTATTCTAAACTTTGTTGAAGTATAATAAATCAATATCACGCATCAACTTTTTTAAAACATAAGCTGGATGCTTAAAACAGCTTAAAACAAACTTTTGCAACCGTTTACTCTACAAGATTTACTTTAACAGGGCATCATACAATTTTTTTACGTTATCATAATTATGTCTTGGTTTTTTGTATTCTGTGCATGTTTCTCTCTCTTTTTTTTAACTGCACCTTCTTCGTTAATAACTCAAATTTACTTGTAACAATAATGATGATAATGCCTAACTAATATCGTTTTTCAAAGACCGATAAGAAATTTCATTACTTAAAACAGTCAAATAACGATGTAAAATTGTTATTTCTATTAGTATATTGACTACGTTTTTATCATAAACAACCTCAGCAGGCGGGTTGGAAGGTAAGTCAAATCATACCTGTAGG